AGTAATCTATTAAAGAGTTCCACTTTGAGTACATTCTATCTATTAGAAGATTCCATCTTAAATTGAGCCCTTTATTTTCTATCAACTGGTCCTATTCCTTTCTTAGGGGTCTCCCAGCCTAAGAGTGGGGCTTCATCCATTAAGGTGGAGCTTAAAGGCATTTAGTTCCTTGTTAATGCTTTCATTACCCCTTCCACAATGGGGGAAAAAGCTGATCTGAATTTCTGTTGTTTCAAAATAACAGTGGTATTCATGCCATAGCAAGGTCTCAGATTTGACTGGACACAAATTAATCCCTTTACTCATCAAGACACACTGATTCTTTGGTTATTTTAGTTGCAAGCAAGTCACTCTTCATGCCTAAAATTGCTTAATGATATCCTCCTCCAAAAGAGGAGCTCCTTTCTGGGTGGTGCCAAGAGTCACCACCTGACTATGATAGCACTGAGACAGCATAGGTCGCAAGAAATAATTGTACTCTAGGATGGTTTTATGGTTACAGCACCAGCATCATTGTGACACAGGAAGCCAAACTGGTCTTTTTTCCCCCAGAAGAGCTTATTCAAATATCAATGCAAGTGATCCTTAAAACTCAAAGCACAGCCTATTTTAGAACCCCCAAAAAACTTATATCACAAAGTCCGTCTTCCTCATTTTACAGACAAAGGAGTCAAGACTTGGAAAGAGTGCATTGTCCTAGATCACAGCTAGATAGTAGAAGTATTGAGAACAGAGGCCAGAACCTTTATGTCTATTTATCTCCATCTCCAGAGAGCTCTTTCTCACACTACTCTCTTTGGATGTCAAATTGGGTTGTCTTTTCTATATCATATCCTGTCATGTAAAATTTAAATATGAAATCTGCCAGAGAGAAATAAGTGCTAATTTGTTAAAATGTGTTTTGTAACTTATCATGTAAAAAGCTTAAGAATATGTATTTAATAAACCTCAAATAGTAGCATATTGTTTTATCTATAATAGTTCATGTACTGGCTCTTATGAAAAGAGAAAACCCAGTTGTCTTCAAGTTACCACCAAGTCATCTTTTTCTCAGAAAACTTAAATCCATTAAAATTGAACTAGTCATTTTGAAAATATGGAAGCAAGTAATACTGAAGTAGTTGATGAAATAGTCCATTACTTGGCCTGATTAGGGATAAATGTTCATTAGTGCCAAAGTTGAATTCTTGGCATTATTTGTTGTGGGAATATATATTTGTTATATTGGGGTACATATAGCTATTTTAGTATGCCAAAGAGGACAATACATAATGATTATTGGATTTCAGAGAAAGAGAACCAGGCCTGAAGTTGATTTTTTTTAAGTACCTAGATGTAATAGAAAACACAAAGAATGGAATAAATAAACTTGTAGGGTTGCTTCCTTCCCCATGAGTCAGTAAAGGTTATAATTATAGAAATTTGGACCCACAGAGAAGAGTTTTCATGTTTAGCCAGATCAAGATAAGATTCTTTCTCTCTTTCTTTTCTTTCTTTCTCTCTTCACTCATTTATTTGTTAAAGTATTTGTTCAAGAGTCCTGAGTGTCCATCAAGTGACAAGCCTCTTATCTAGTACAGGGGAACATAAAGATGGCTACAAGGCATCAATTTTCTTAATCTCAAGGAGGTGGTCAGATGGGACCAGTCCAATATGTGCCTGATTAAAATGCAATAGCATCAGAGGCAGAGATATGTCTAAAGCACAGGGAAGCCCAGAGTAAGTGACAATTTCCAGTTTAGGGGTTGGGGATGATTTCACAGAGTAAGTAATTCTTGAGCTGGATCTTACCCAGTGGGGGAGGGCAAAAAGTGTTGCAGAAATGGCACAAATAAAGGCACGGGGGCATAGGCACAAATGGCTTGCTCACAGTGCTCGAAGTGGTTCAGCTCGAAGGGCGCTTAGAGTGGGGAGCAGTGGGAGAAGCACGTGGGGGCAGTTTGGGAAAAGCCATGTGTGAATGCTGACGGTCTTGGATTTTATCTCACAGGCCAAGGATTAGATCTGTGTTGCAGAAAAAATTCTGTACTAAACAAGTATCATAACAAGCATACAAATACATACTCTTGGCCTTTAAGCTTACAGTTAGGAATGAAATGAAAAGATAAGTAATACAAGGTTTTTTAAGTTATAAAAGGGATTTAAAAATACAGAATGCAATGGGTATTCAGAAACTTGAGCAATCTTTTATGACTGAAGGGAATCAGCAGTAATATTCATGAAAGAGATCGTCATATTTGAACTGGGCCTTGAAGTAGGAGGATTCAGGTGTATAGAGAAGGATGGGGAAGGACCGCCTAGGTAGAAGAAACAATGTGAGCAAAAAATTCAGAAGATGGACAGGAACAATGACTGTGAAGGGGCATGGACTTTAAGGCTCAGAAGGAAGACTGAGGAGAGGACAGGGAAGCCTTTGGTCTAAGGTAAATAGCTTGAGCTTCATGCAATAGAGACGTTTGAGGAGAGTGTGATCAGAGATGTGATTCAAGATGGTTTATCTGTAAATAATGTCTAGAATGCATGATTGGGGAGAGAGAAGCCTGGAATAGCAGCAATATTTCAGGCAAGAGATGAAGTTCTGAGTGGGGATTGTGACAGTGAGTCTGGCAGGAGGAAATGAATGAGGGAGACGCCCTGTGGGAGAATCAACTGGGCCTGGCAGGACTCATGGAATGTAGGAGGCAGGGACTTTGAGTGTCAAAAACGATGTGGCTGTTTCCAGCTTGTGACTCAAAGAATAACAGAAACAGGAGCAGGGAAGACATGAGGAGGAGCTCTCTAGAGAGGAAAGAGTTTCTTAGGACTTGGATATGATGACTTTAAGATGCACATAAAACACCCAAAAGTCCCAGCAAACAGTTGGCAATGCTGGGCTGGAAGCTTTGGAGAGAGAATGGATTTTGCGATGAACTTTTAAGAGTTATTGTTAATTGCTGTATGTGACACTTTTTCAGGCAGAACTGCCATGATTTCAGCAGCCATCTATGGATTCACCAGTATCTGATCCTCATTAAGTACAATTGCTGAAGTGTAATGAGTGTTCATCTCTCAGTGATAATCCCTCTAGAGTAAGAATATACTTGCATGATGTGGGATCAATGTAATATCATTCTACTTTTTTTCTTTCAACAAATATTGATCAAGTGCTTGTTATGATAGACCTATTGCTAGGTGCTGGAGGCCCAGAGAAGAACAAAAACCAGTCCATGTCCCAGAACGGTTAGATCTAGGGGAGGAGACTTAACAGGTAACTGCCTAACAAGTCTATAATATGCTGAGTGCTACTGCAGATTCATTAAAAAGTGCTGTGAAAACACAGAAGATAGGGTGGTTTAAAAATTTTCTTATATTATCATTGTAGATCTTGGTACTTTTTTTTTTTTTTTTTAAAGATGACCAGTAAGGGGATCTTAACCCTTGACTTGGTGTTGTCAGCACCACGCTCAGCCGGTGAGCGAACCGGCCATCCCTATTATGGGATCTGAACCCGGGGCCTTGGTGTTATCAGCACCGCACTCTCCCGAGTGAGCCACGGGCCGGCCCTGTAGATCTTGGTACTTTTAAAATTTTTATTTAAAAATGTTTACTAAGTTCCAGACACTGTGCTTGTCACTTCGGATGCAGACAGGAATAAGATGCTGTTACTGATGAATGTATTATTCATGCTTATCCTATATGTATGGCTGAAAACATTGATTCTTGAAGTGCCACTTAGAAAAAAAACCAGTTGTAACTGGTGAAGCTTTCAGAGTGTACTTTTTCCATGGCGTGGGCACTTGGTGTGCTGCTAAACAGTCAATTTCCCAGTCACTGCATGTCTGCATTCCAGTAGGGACTTTTGCTATGAGTGCCAGAAAATGTTTCAACCAAATAAAGCACCCAGGACTTGGAACCACTCTTGTTCATAATCCCTTCTTTGTCTGATTCTTGCGTAATGTAATGAGGTTTGTATGAAAAACCTGAGTGCCTCATAAATCTTCAAATTTTAATGCTATGGTGGTAAGAAGAAAAAAATTAAGAAAAACCAAGAAGTATTTTCAACCATCTTCTATTAACATTTAAAAACTGAGAAATGGGGCTGGCCAGTTAGCTCAGTTGATTTGAGTGTGGTGTTGTTAACACCAAAGTCAAGAGTTTACCATACTGGCAATAAATAAATAAATAAAACAAAATAAAATAAAAACAGAAACTGATCAAGAATATCCATGGATTAAATTACTCATCACTTTAAGTTAATGTAGTAGCCAAAAAGGCAAGTTTACATTACATCAAAATATGTCATGAAGAACTATATACAATCACATAAGGTTGTATCTAGCTATATGTGAACATAAATTTGCCCATATAACAGTTAACATAGTTGAATAGTGACAGCAATAAAAATTAACATTTAATATAGTACTTACTCTGTACCAGGTACTACTCATTCAATAAATAATTCAATCACCTAAATGACACTATGAGTTAGAAACCACAATTATTCCCATTTTATAGGTGAGGAAAGGAGCAGTGAGGCTTATTAAATTAAGATCACACTGCTAATAAGTGGCAGAGCCAGAATTTGGAACCAGGGATTGGGCTATAAAGTCAGTGACGATAGCCATTATGTTATATTGCCACAAGGTTAAGAGAGGCAAATTAGCTGTGTTCATTATTGAAATCAGAATGTCTTTTAGCAGGGTCTGTTTATATTAAGTGGATGCTAATACTTAGAAATGTGCTAGGGAAAAAATACTGAAAGTGTGTAATTCTGGTTTGGAAAAATATTACCTTTTAAATAGTTATTGTCTAGTATCTTAAAGCCTTAAAATTACTTTCAAGAGTGAGTCATTTATGTTTAACCAAAATATTAGTAATAATGAAACAGCAAAACCTCGGAAGTTTTCATCACCAGTCACAAGATGTAAGGCACACCCCGATAATTTTGTTTACTTTGCAGGGCATAAGAATTAAAGGTAGTATGAGCTCCACGTTCTTCTGAGTTCAAGTATTGAGTGGTGTCACTTTGAAGAAAACCACTTGGTATTTTATAGTGAGGTGGCTTTGCAAATAAAGATCTTCACGAAGATTTTATGTGATTTTAAACAAATCAACTTAAATGCTTGGAATTTGGATTGCTGTACTTTTATTTTTTGGCACATCAAGAGGTAAGACTCATAATTTATAAATTCCTTAAAACTAATGAGTATTCATGTCCAGAATGTAATTGACATTGACTTTTGACTTTAGAAATTGCCATTACTAACTTCATTCTCAAGAAGTATCCTATATTTATGAATATATTTGAAGTATTAGCTCTGCTTATACTTCTATTTACTTGTCATAAAAATCATCTAAGGAAAATGCATCACTTTCTTAATACTGAATAAATCTTATGAAAATATGAGACACATCTATTTCCAATAATATAAAAGTTGCTGGACAGTCTTGTATTGGGCTTCCAGCTGTGCCACTTACTAGTCTTATGGCCTTGGACATAACTTTTTTCCATTCAAGTCTCAATTTCTTCACTTCTAAGATGGTATATAGCAGTAAATGAGAAAATATTTACAGATTTCCCATTTCATTATTTGACTCTATTAGATGCTCAATGAATGCTTGAATGAATAAACGAATGAATGAATGATTAATGTTGATTGGAATGTCTAAGTTGTTTTTTCTTCCATTTGGGTCATGGTTTTGTGGAGAAATATTGGTCTGTGGACCTTTCTTACACATTAACTCAATATTCATTGACATGTGTTCTTTATACTGTGGGCTCCTTATACATTGCTAACTATGAAACAGATATTGGTTTTGCCTGCTTTTATCACCCAGGTTCAATATTGTACCTATAAGCACTAAAGTTAGTTGATTTAAGCAAAATAGAATCAAAGAATTTTAGTGTTGGAAGTAGTCATGTAGGCAGACCAACCCTTTCTTTTAAAGTACCATGTAGTTGCTTGTTATAGTATAGTGGTAAGAAGACAGTCATCACATCTTACATTCAGTTCAACCACTGGTTTGAATCATGAATCTTCTTAAGTATGAATCCTGATTCAGCTATTTGGTAGCTTCTTAACTTTAAACAAGTACTTAACCTTCCTAAACCTTGGTTTCTTCATCTGTAAAACCAGGACAATAATGAAAATAACCTCATAGGTTTGTGCAAATTAAATAAGATAATTCACATAAACTACTAAGCATGGCTTCTGGGACATATTCACCGTGAGCAATCAATAAACATTAGCTGTTGTGTGCACAGACGAAGAAACAAATTACAGAAAGACTAAGTGCGCAAAGTCATGGTGCTAGCTTGTGGCCGTGGCCAGTCTCCAACTTTTGGTTCAGTGTTTTTTAGTTCCTGACCTCCAGCTCTCCTCTCTGGGATGAAAAAAAATGAAAGAGACAGAACTATCATTAGTTTTCACATGTTCCAGGATCTGTGCTCTATTGTTCATGATTTTTTTTCCCCAGGAGAATCCTGACTGAATGCTGAAAGCAGTCAGACTGGTGAGGGCAGAATTAAGAAATGGGCAAAGTCTGCTCTGATCTGCTTTAATATGATGTTTAAAGCCATGAGTACAGATGAGATCACCAAGGGAGTGACTGCAGGTAGAGAAAAGGGAAGGTCCAAGGACTGAGCTCTAGGACACTTTCTCATTAAGAAACCAGAAAGATGAGGGTGAACTAGCAAGGACGACTGTAGAGAGGTACTCAGCACCAAGGGAGTGACTGCAGGTAGAGAAAAGGGAAGGTCCAAGGACTGAGCTCTAGGACACTCTCTCATTAAGAAACCAGAAAGATGAGGGTGAACTAGCAAGGACGACTGTAGAGAGGTACTCAGTGAAGCAGGAGGAAATCCCAGAGACTGAGGCATCCTGGAAGCCCACCTAAGATGAGAGAGAGAATAGCATGCTTGTGTGCTGCTGGAAATGATCTAGGAGAGAGGAGAAAAACTGGTGAAGCAGGGGACATAGAAGGGAGTACTGCTGAGCATTATCCTTCAGTAGGGAGAGGAGATGGAGTCAAATACATAGGAGGAAGGGGTGGCTTTTGCCTGGAACAAAGACAGTTCATCTCTTGTGAACAGAGAGAAGGCGGAGCAGATAGGCAGGTACAGCAGTCCCCACTTGTCTGCAAGGGATATGTTCACGACCCCCAGTAGATGCCTGAAATCTTGGGTAGTACTGAACCCTATATATATGCTATGTTTTTTGCATCTGATAACCAAGATGGCTACTATGTTACTAACCAGCGGGTAGTGTGTAGAGTGTGGATAGGCTGGACAAAGGGATGATTCACATCCCAGACAGGATGGAGCAGGATGACGGAGAGTTCATCATGCTATTCAGAATAGCACACAATTTGAAACTTACAAATTGTTTATTTCTATAAGTTTCCATTTAGTATTTTTGGGCCACAGTTGTCCGTGGGTAGATGAAACTGCCAAAAGCAAAACCATGGATAAGAGGGGCTACTGTATATGCAGGTAGCTAGACAGATGTGGTGCTCGGAGCTTGTGGAAGGTCTCTTCTCTTTGTTTCTGTCTTCTTATTAAAATAGGAAATAAGGTCATCAACCAAGAGGGTTGGTGGACAAGGAAGTGTCGGAGGTTTGAGTAGAGGGGAGAAGAATGAAGTAGCCCAAGAGCCGAGGAAAACATGATGTGATGGCTGGACAATCAGCATGTATGTGATTTTCTCCAGGCACATTCAGCTGCACAGGTGCAGGTAGGAAGTAGATGAAGTGTTGGGTTTAACCAGAGTGGTAGTTAAGCCGCGTGAAGCAAGAGCAGCAGAGAAGTCCAAGGTATACACAAAGGGGTGATTATAATTGACCATGGGATTTGAACTGAGTAGGAAGGGAATGGAGGAGAGAGATGGTTGCCAAATGCAATGTTTTTTCAACAAAATACTCAGTTATATGAAATTTAGATAATACATATATTTCTGCTACACACATACATCCATTACACAGCTGCCATAAATTAAACAATTGAGTCTACATCACATTTATGTTATTATCTATATCACATCTGTTAACTTTGTAGTGGAGGCCGTTTGTATTCAGTCCTCTGCTATTGAACACTTATGCTAATGACTGTAAAATTCATCATCTCTAGCTGAACTTCTCCCTCGAATTCCAGTCTCATAAATGCAACTACCTTTGTGACATCTCCACTTTGGTATCTAATTCATATCAAATCTACATCTCCAAAACTGAATTCTCAATATCTACCCCACATCTGTTCTTCCCCAACTTTTCCCCATCCCAATTAATGGCAACTCCAGTCTTCCAGGTGCTCCAGCCAAAAACCTCAGCATCATCCCTGACTTTCCTTTCTATCACACCTCACTGCCAATTAGTCACCAAATCCTTTTGGATCCTCCTTCAAAATATATCCAGAACCTGACCACTTCTAACCACCTCTACTGCTGCCACTCAAGTCTTAGCCACCGTCATTCTTTAGTTTATTACAGTAGCCTCCTAGTGGCCTCTCTGCCCCTACTCTTGCCCTGCTTCAGTCTACACAGAAGTCAACCCAAGTCAGTCCAGGTTGCTTTTCTGCTCAGAGCCCTCCAAGGCTCCCCATCTCATTTCAGAGAAACACCCAAAGTCCTTCCAATGATCCACCAGGTGCTGCTACATGCGTTAGCCCTGTTACCTCTCTAAAATCTTCCCCTGCTATTTGTTTACCATCTCTTATTCAATCTCCTTAAGGCCAGATGCATTCCAAAATTGAGATTTTTTTTGGATTTTAGAAAGGTACTATAGTAAATATACTGTATAATATGTAACCCTCAGAAGGATCTGGGGTGGCATCCATAAACAACCACATTAATATTGCTGAAGTAAAATGTATGATTATTCCTATTAAGGGGGATAAAGACTATAAATAACCTTAGGTCAGTTTTTGCTGCCAAATGTGTACAGCAAACTAAAAACAAATGAATGAAAAAAATCAAAACCAACTTTTTTCCAAAGAGATTTTTAGATTTTGAAATTGCAGAATAAGGTGTTGTGGAGCTATCTCTTCCCCACCCCACCCCACCCCATTCCCTGGGTCCCAGTCAGGGAATCCTCCTTGTAAGTTCTTAATCCTCACAGGCTCCCTACTTTCTTGCAGAATCTTGTACTTTCTCTCACCTCTGCCTGGAACACTGTTCCCGAGAGATATCCACATGGTTTTCTCCTCACCTTCTCAGGTTTTGATTCAAATGCTACCTTTTTAGTGAAGTCTTTCCTGGGCACCCTATTTGAATTGCAAACCCCTCTTCACCTAAACACACACACACCTTCATTTCATCTATGCTTTGTGTTTCTCACAGCACCTATCACTATTTAACATAAAGCACATTTCACTTGTTTATTTATTTTCTGTCCCTACACCCCATAGGAGACTATACACTCCATGAGGGCTAGGATTATTTTTTCCACTGCTGAATCCCAGTGCTAACAGTACCGGACAACTAATAGGCACTCCAATAAATATTTCTTCAATACATTATTTAATTTATTTTTCCAGTTTTTGTATGTCATTGGAAAAGGTTGGTCACAGTTCGATAGAGAAATAACTCATTTAGAAAGTGGAAATTAGGAAAGTATGAATATGCCAATTTACATGGTTTTTAACCAATTAAAACTAGCTTCATGTAATGTGCTATATTTCAAATGTTCCTTCAAAGAAGGCTTAGGCCAAAGAGGAAATAAAACATTTCAATTATAGAATATATTAAAATATGACTTAAAAAACTGAAGAAACTAGAAAAAGAACAAGTAAAGTTGAAGGAAGAGTTTAATTAGCAAAAATAAAAGTAAGAATAAAAGTTAATACATTAGAAAAACAGAAAAAAAAATAGAATTGATAAATCTATGTGACAGATGCTTCATAAAACTAATAAAACAGAAAACTATGTTGGCAAATTTAAATAAACAAAGGGAAATAACCTCAGAAGTGGAGGAAATTAAAATGACTATACTTTGTATAAATTCATGCTAAGAGAATTGAAATTCTAAATGAAAATGTTATATCTTATACCTAAATAAATCCCAGATGGGTGAACATAATATTCTTCAGTACCATAATTTAAAAGCTATATCCTTTATTATTGATGACTTAAGTTATTGGCCCAATTTCATTCATTAATTTTATAGCAGCCATTTACTTTTGGAGAACTGTTAATCTTTCAATTTCTCCTAAGTCACTGTAATACCCTATGATGTTGCTCAGTCTGTTCATTTAGGTTCCTCTAAAGTTATGTTCTTTCTACGAGTATATCCTTATGGAAAAAAGTGCAGTGGCAAACAACCGTGGTAATTTATAAACATAGAAAACAAGGATACTTATAAAAATTTATTTCAAAATCCAAACTCTCTTCCATAGATTGAATAATATAGTTTAGAACTTGCAGGGGAAAAAACCCCACAGAATGCAAAAAATAAAGGCAGCTGAACATTGTAGGAAGAACAGAAGATTGTATTAGAAAGCCAAGACCTAAATATGAAATCCCTGTTCCAAATTACAGCTGGATAGATGTGTACTTCAGGAGAAAAAACAGAATGGATTTCAGGCAGGAGAAATATTAAGAAGCCATGATATCCTGGAATATAGTGAAGAAGGCACATGTTCATACTTCCAACAAGAGGGGGGGAAAAACAACCAGAAAAACTAGAAAAACAAGATGGAACAGGAAAGGCATGACCCAAATATGGAGCAAACTAAAATGATACACTGATGTTAAGCAATTCTTCAAGTATTAGAAAAGAGAATTTATTTGAATGTTCTCCTTTGAAGAGAATGGTTGTCAGAACAGTGGAAGTGCAGGGAAAGAAATGGGATTACAGCATGCCAGTTGTCTCTGAAGGCAAAAATATTTATCTAGTCATAATGATATAAATTCTGTTTATTGATTTCCAACTTTTTGGAGTCAGACAAAACATGGAAGACTTAATTATAATCATACAAGAAAGTCTGAATATTATCAATCTTGACAAAATGAATGTGAAAGTGCAGCTGACAGACCTTGGAAGGTGGAAGGGAGGAAGAGACGGAGAGGCAGTGTCACTAAAACCTGCCTCTTGCAAAGGTGGGAGTCAAGTTATGAGGAATATGAGGTATGGTTCAAAAATAGATTACTATTTAAATTTATGACACAAGCCAATAAATGAGTTAGAAACAGTGTTATTGACTGTATTGGAGGAAGAGGTGAGACTAAGTGGAGAGCAGGATGTGCTGGGTTACTGAGCTGTTGTCATGCAGCTTCAAGTCTGCCCTTCTCAGCTGAGCTTGGCTGGGGCTGGGATGCTGCCAACTCCATTCTAACAAGTGAGAGGTGATATCTCATTGTGGTTTTGATTTGCATCTCCATGATGATTAGCGATGTTGAACACCTTTTCATATACCTGTTGGACATCCGTATGTCTTCTTTGGAAATATGTCTATTCAGGTTCTTTGCCTATTTTGATTGGTTATTTCCTTTTTTGCTATTGAGTTGGATGAATTTCTTATGTATTTTTTCACTGAAATTGAGAAAAGAATCCCAAAACTGTGTGGAACCACTAAAAACCCTGAATAGCCAAAGCAATCTTGAGAAAGAATAGTGAAGCCAGAGGCAGCACACTTCCTGGGTTAAGACTATATTATGAAGCAATAGTGATTAAAAGCAGTATGGTACTGGCATAAAAACAGGCACATCGACCAGTAGAACAGAAGAGAGAGCCCAGGAGTAGATCCATGCATATATAGTTAACTAATCCTTGTCAAGGGCACCAAGAATACACAATGGGGAAAGGATGGTCTCTTCAATAAACGGTACTGGGAAAACTGGATATCCACATGCAAAAGAATGAAATTAGACCTTTATCTTATACCGTACACAAAAACTAACTCAAAATGTGTTAGATTTAAACCATAAAAGACCTGAAACCATAAAATTCCTAGAAGAAAACATAGGAAAAAAGCCCCTTCACATTGGTCTTGTCAATGACATTTTTGGATATGATACCAAAAGCACAGGCAACAAAAGTAAACAAATGAGACTGCATTAAACTAAAAAGCTTCTGTATGGCAGAGGAAATAACCAAAATGAAAAGGTAATGTACAGAATGGGAGAAAATATTTGCAAGCCACATATTAGATAAAGGGTTAATATTCAAAATTAAAGACTACTTTGGCTCTCATAGTGAGAAACACAGCCTCTCTCTGGGCCTGGATCCTATATTACTGACACCTCATCTTTTTGCTGCAGGAAAAGAAATTTGCTATGACAGGGTAGGATGCTTTAAAGATGGTTTACCATGGATGGGGACTTTTTCAAGAGAGTTGGTGGGTTTACCCTGGTCTCCAGAGAAGATAAACACTCGCTTTCTGCTCTACACTATACATAATCCCAAAGCCTATCAGGTAAGCTAATTTTCTGCCTTCACACATAGATTATTCTAAAATAGAAGATGTAGCTGTAGATACAGAAAACATCGATATGGTAAACTATTCTGGCATAAGCCATTGATTTAAAGGCAAATATATCCTTTTTAGTAATGTGAGCCAGATTTTTTTGCATATTATTTGTCCTAGTATTTAAATATGAAGATTGCTCTGAATAGGTTGTTTCATGAGGGTAAATTTGATATTATGTTCAATTGATATACTAACTGAGAGCCTTCTATGTGTAAGACTAAATAAGCAACGGTGTCTATTATGTATTGAATTGAACAAGCAAGACAGTGTCTTAAATTTCTTACATTGGGGAAATGGGAAATGTAAACAAATGCCTTTATTGCAACACATAAAATGATCTGTGATGTAAGATGCAAATATAATACTCTGGGAACAATGTGAGGAAGAGCTTACCTTCACCTTGGGGCTGGGGATGGAACCAGGAAAAGCTTTGAAGAAGACACGTAACTGTGGTTTATCCTTAAGGGTGGGCAGGACTCTCACAGGCAGAGAGATAAACAGGAAAATGGCAAAGGATGGAAGAGCTTACCTTCACCTTGGGGCTGGGGATGGAACCAGGAAAAGCTTTGAAGAAGACACATAACTGTGGTTTATCCTTAAGGGTGGGCAGGACTCTCACAGGCAGAGAGATAAACAGGAAAATGGCAAAGGATACAACACGAACGTACAGGAGAGAAACTGCAGGGTGTATCTGATGAATGACATCATGTTGGGTTAGGCAGGGGTCAGGAAGGGAGTCCTCAAAAGTAAAGTTAGTTAGAAAAGTAGTTTTGGAACAAATTGTGTAATTCATTCCTGTTGAGTGTGTACTTCATCCTGTGCGCTAGGAGGTCCCATTGAGAGCTTTCAAGAGATGCTTTAGGGCATTTACTCTGGCTACAATTGACTCTCTTGCTCTGACCAGGGACAGATTAGAGGTGACCGCAAGACGGTTTAGAACTGTGCTGTCCAATGCAGTAACCACTCGCTGTGTGTGAGTAGTAGAATAACAACTAAACAAAATCAAAAATTTAGTTTGTCAGCCACACTAACCACATTTTAAGTGCTCAATAGCCACATAGGACCAGTGGCTACCATATTGGACAGCGCCAATATAGAATATTTCCATCATCACAAAAAGTTCTATTTGACTGTGTTAAATAGAAAGCTGTAGTGCAGTTTGGATCAAACATGGGAAACCAGCCTGAACTAGAATAGTGAAAGTGAGTATGATAACAGAAAATAGGCACGATAAACACTGAAACTGTCCTGAGATTTCACACATGAATGATGGAAAAATGATGACCCTCTTTTTAGAAAAATTTGGAGTGAAGAAAAATGAGTTAAATTTTGAACAGGTGAGATTTGGGCACCTATTGGAAATTTTAGTTTTACAGCTTAGCAGGCAGTCCAGAGCTGGAGAAAGAGATTCAAAAGTCTTCTACCTAGAGCTATGTCAGGTTCGGCTAATGTTGGAATCCTGTTGACACAGCCAATTGCAGGGCTAATGTCAGAATCCTGCTGACATCGCCAATTGTCAGGCTCTTAATCCTGTTCGTGATGCCAATTTTAAAGCTACTCAACCACGCCAGTTGTACAGCTACTTTTACCTGCTGGTAATCCTGCATTGGCTGGGCCGATTGTATAGCTAGGGCTGGGTCTGGAGCTCACAGACCCCTCAAGCCCATTCACAGACTGGGTCACAAAACATTCACATGCCAGGCTAGGTCACCAGACCCCACACATGCCAGGCTGGGTCACCAGACCCCTTACATGCTGCTCTATGAGCAAAGTAACCGGCAAACAGGTCCTTGGAAGCTGTAGGTTGGAAAGCATGGCTGTGTGGAGCAGACGCCCAAGGCAGATAGATGCCCACCCACCTGCTTCACCAAAACTACTCTCTAGAACACAAGAATAGCAACAAAATTAAAAAGATACATTGGCATCCATGCACACTAACTCCACCCACCCCCACACACAATTTGTTTACTGAACCACCCCCAACCAGGTCCGAGGCGAGAGGGCCTGATTAAATTGTTCTATTTTCCCAACAAGCTGAAAATTGAAACCCAAGAGTACATGAGATCTCAGGAACAGAGAAACAAGAATGAGACTAGGTCCAGGTGGAGTATTTATATTTAGGGAGCAGGATAGAAAGAGGGCCAGAGAAGATCACTGACAATCTGTACCTGCATCTGTAACCTTGGGCTTGCTTCTCTTCAGACCCATCACCTGCCAGCAGGCCTCACCAGACAACCTTCTGTTCTCCTACACAACGTACAGCTGATTTGTAACTGTCTACTCACCAGACACACACATACACATGCATACGAACACATAACTCTTTATTGAAATCTGCCATCTGTTCTGTAGATAACAGCTCTGTCTTGGACAAAGAGGAAAGTCCTTATGTGGATATAAAGAAATTTAAAAAGAAACTGTCATCAAAAGTTTTAGTTTTATACATATCAAAAAGTAAAGAGAGGAATATTACTTAGCTTTAAAAAGAAGTGAAATTTTGATACATGATACAACATGGATGAACCTTGAAAATATTTTGCTAATAAGCCAGACACAAAAGGACAAATAACATGATTCCACTTACATGACACACCTAGAATAATGGGAATTATTGTTTAATGGGTACAGAATTTCAGTTTGGGATGATGAAAAAGTTCTGGGGAAGGATGGGGGTAATGATTGCACAACAATGTGAATGACTTAATGCCATTAAATTTACACTTAAAAATGGTGAAAATGGTCATTTTTAGGCTATGCTTAGTTTACCACAATTTTTTAAAAAGTGAAGAGAATCTATGCTGAAAATAAGCATTTGGGGCACCTTCTCTGCCCTTTAGGACTTTCAGGGTATGTCTTTCCACTCAGGACTAACTCTTCCCAGGCCTTGACTCTCAGTATTCATAGGACTCATTGATCCTTTCATCCTTATGTACAAGTGGCCATACACTTGAATCTTGGGGAACATAGTAGAAGAGAAGCTGATGAAGACCAGTCTTTACGTGAGGTTGGGTCCTAATGCTAATGAAAATTTGAAAACCAAGTACTTCCCTAATAAAGGGACCAAAAAACAATGTTCTTCACGCCTTCCCCACTGCCCTCGATTTGAAAAGAATCATGAGTAACTATACCAGATCTGTACATGAATTTTATAATGGATGGAAGCCCAATGGTTTGCTATTAAAATATTTTCTTAAACATAACTAAATAAAGGATGAGTCAAGGTTTGTATTTAAAACAAGGATTTCCTCAGGCCTGGCCCATGTGCTGCATAAATTTGGCTGTCTGTGTTTATAGGAAAGCAGAAATAAACTCTGTGCAATTAACATACTCTCTTCTCCAGAAATAAACATGGTGTGGTGCAATAAACTTAGTCTTCTGCAAGTCATAGGTCTTCACAGCTATAATACCAGCCCACTTCCCCCATGAAACCATGATTCCTTAGCCTAGAGTGACTCATGCAATCACTGGTGCTGATGCATATTTTGCATACTTCTGGAAGTTTCTGTCTCTGTAGCTTTAGTCAAGGCTAGAGCATACCAAAAGGTGATTATTTTTTACTTACTTAGAAATAAGATCACCTGGAAATCATCAGAATGGGTTGATCTAGCACCAATTAAGCCCCGTCTCTACTCAGTCAGAAGGCCCATCCAAACCTTAATACGTTAATTAACCCTTCCTCTCAATAACCAGTTCTGTACCATATTGACATCATTTTCTACTTCTATTCTTGCGGCAGCAGAATCCAAGTTGTCTTCTTTTGATTTCATCATGCTGTATGAAGTTTCCCACATTTATGCTGATATGTGCTTGTCTTAGACCATTTTCTGTTGCTAAATTCCCTCTCCAAAATAGGTTTTCTTATGTAAAAATGGGAATACAGTAGGTGTTTAAGGAGATCCAACTGGATCTAAAAGAGTTGGAATGAATGAGCATCTGGATTCTTTTAAATTTGTAGATCGAATCATGTTTTTGCACTTGGACTGCATTATTTAGCAGAGAAGTGCTTTCTAGAAAGCACTTCTAGAAAGTCTGAATACAATTGATTTTATTACCTGCCTCAGGAAATCCCACTTCTGCTTTGGGTCCTATGAGTAGAGAACGCAATGAACAGAACACAGCTTGGGGGCCTACTGGCTCTCCACACACAACTTGAAGGACGACGTGGGTTTGAACCTCAGCTCCAGGACTCATCCACTGCAGTACTTTTGGACAAGTTCCTTGACCTCTCAGTGTCCCTCTTTCCTAACTTGTAAAATTAGTACCCACCTCACAGTGTTGCGAGGGTTAAATGAACTACTCTACAAAGTGGTTAGAACAATACCCAGCAAATAGACAGGTAGGTACTATTACAATATTAGCTATTAAATTACTGTGTTAGCCAACTTATGACTCTCATAATTGTTAGCTTCCAGTCTAGGAGATACTTTAGCTAGCCAGCAAGTTGTATGATTAATTGCATATTGCTATTAAACGCAGATAGCTAGTAATATGCTCTTTGTTTGCATTTCGTAAGCATGTCTATATGTGTTGTTTCCCAATTGTAGGACTCACCATTGTCAAACTTGCTATTTGCTGATTAGCGTACTCCTTTTTTTCCAGTAAAATTACTTATTCTTGTGCCAATAAAATACAAGAAATATAAAAGAACATTTAATGTAATTATATAAAATTATCTTTAATATGTTGTCATATTTCATGTGATAAGACTCTAACCTCTATTCCTTACTCATAAAGTGAGGTGGACAATCTCTATTTTTGCCACCCATGTAGCATGCTTCTAAACTTCAAATAAGATAATTCTCATGAATTACATTATAACTGAGATGTACTGCACAAAAGTAAGTTTTGCTGAAATTCTGATTTAAACTTTCTGACATTGTCTTTCAACATTGCTTTAAAAACTAAGGCTTTTTATTTCTTTTCCTTATGATTAAATTTGTATATTGCATTTTATAATGCATTAATAACTTTTGGTACTTCTGCAATATGTAGCAGTAAATACTTCTTTAAAGTAAAAATGTATTAAAGAAAGTTGTTAAAAATCAAATTTAGTAAAAGACTTTTGCATAGCTTTAGAATAATTCTACTAAATATTAAATAATTTGCAATTATTTTACCTTTATCTCTTTCCACTTGAAACAGGAGATCAGTGCAGTTAATTGTTTAACTATCAAAGCCTCACATTTTGGAACAGACAAGATAACCCGTGTCAACATACCTGGATGGAAAACAGATGGCAAATGGCAGAGGCACATGTGCAATGTATGATGTGAATAAACTTTTTTACACTAGTATGAAAGCTTTACATTTAACATGAATGTACTTTGCATGGTATTAATGCATCTTCATTGAAATATTCCATTTGATTATCCACATTATCCATGTTCCAGGGCCTCAAATGAGTTATCTATTTTCTATTTATTTTTATTTTTTAATTTTTATAATTGGCTTTTAGTTTATTCTACAAGTAAAATTTGGAAAAATGATGTTTGATATATATTTAGCATAATTCAGAGAAGTCAACTTTTCTTTTTAAAATTTTTTTAACTTCTCAATAAACATTGTAGTTGATTTTCATGACTCTTTACCCATTCCTCTTCCCCCACCCTTTCTCCCCCCCTCCACATCATATCTGTTCAGTTTTCTTTAAAAGTTCAAGGAATTGTTGTGACTGTTGTGTCTTCTTCCCCCATTTTTATTTTTTATGAATTGCATGGATTATAATGGGAACAGATTTTTGTAATCATTCTTGGATAAATTCTCACCTTTGACAAAAGATCGAATGGTATAATCAATTTCTTACTTAATTTAAGAAAAAAGTTTCCAAATTAACTCTATTAAATTAATTTTTCTCTGTGCCTAGAATAGTGTCTGCTAACATCATAAGCAATTAATTATTGATAAAGCTATATAATATAGATAACATTAGTACCTATCTCACAGAGTGAGGATTAAATTAATATATGTGAAAGGCTTAGGACAGAGCCTAGCATGTAGTAGGTTCTCAATTAATACCTACTAGTATTTTTTTATTGTGGAATCAAGTGTTGAGACACTTTGGTTTTCTTTAACTTATTTAACATTTATAACAAATCTTTGTACCAGGTGTTGCTACAAGTGGAAGATATAAACTGCATCAATTTAGACTGGATTAATGGTTCACTGGAATACATCCATGCTGTAAACAATCTCCGCGTTGTTGGTGCTGAGGTGGCTTATTTTATTGATGTTCTTATGGTAAGAAGAGTTGATTTTTTTAAAAATTATATTTAATTGGTTTTGGATCATAACACCCAGAATTTTGGACAATTTTATGTCTCCTTTTTATTATCTTAGACAAGTACTGCATGTGTGAAATAATAAACTTTTGTATGTGGGAGCCAAAAAAGAAAGTTTCTTTTTATTACAGAAGAGCCTGTGGTTATATGAAGCACCACTTGGTGGCAGTGTGTCTACACAGGCTCATTACCAAAAAGTCTCCCCAAGGTTTTTGCCTTGGTCAGTGTGTTGGACTATCTCAGTTACTTTTCATCACATTGTAAACCTATCCTTAGTAATTATAAACTTTTTCCATTTTACAAATTCTATTTGTTTAGAATGTGAAATACATTTTCCCACAGAAAGAGGGTTCTATGGCAATGAACTAGTTAGGATAATAGGCCAGTCCATACACAACTATTTAACCTACACACCTTCTGAAGAATAAAATAGACCCTTCTATTTATAAGGGCTATACTCTGAGACGTTTATGAATTGCCAAATGCTCTACCATTATAGAAAGTAGTTTTCCACCCTTAAATGCAGTGAAGTCAAATCTGAAAATATATGACCCTTTCAGATTTTTAAGGAGGGCTCATTCATGCACTCAACAAATATTTCACTCTGCATTTGTTATGGGCCAGACATTATTCTAGGTACAGAAGACACAAGTTTTGAGCAAAACAGTGTTTCTGCTCTGACAGAGTGTACACTGTAGTAGGCAATAGAAGTAAACACATAAATGAATGAAAAAGAAAATGTTAGCTAGGGACAAGTGCTGTGGAGAAAATGCAAGGCAATAGGATGGAGAGTGGCAGGAGCAGAAGCTAATTTAGATGGGCAGCCAGGAAAGGTGATATCTGAACACTGACCACAGTTAGTAAACAGCCTAGAGAAGGAATCAGGGAGCCAAATACTCATTTGTGCCTCCACACTTCTCTATCCCTTCTTCCCACTGTGTCAGGGAAGACTAGGGTGCAAGGAGGTCCTTAGAGTATGCCTTGTGCACAAGGCATGAAATCAGATTATTTCCTTCCTTTTGAGGAAAAACCAGCTGTAAGCTTTTGTAAATTTCTTCATTGATCCCGGGGCCTGATCTGTGGGCTCTTCTAAATCTAGTAAATGAACTGTAGTGGCTTGAAGGAGATGTTTGTGGAAATGAAGGGAAAAGTGTCTGCTGAATTAAATAGTCATTAAATTGAACAAGCCACCTTGGTGGCCCAAGGTGAAGAGTGGGAAAGGATTTAGGGTGAGGGGGCTCCAAAGCCTCTAGGAATAATTCGGGAGTCAGGCCTGAAGAAGGAGCAACTAAAGGAACTGCTGAGTCTCTTCTCTGCCTTTCCTTCTGTCTTTTCATTACAGGTAACGAGAGCACCACACTTTTCCACCTGGGCTGGTTCTAGGGCAAGCAGGTGCCTGGGAACGGGGTACAAGATAGATGGGGAAGAAGGAGAGGAAGAATGAAGGGGAGGAGAGCTGAGAGTTAATCTTAAATACCAGCCTGTATAGGGAGGTAGGAAAGAAAGTAGAAATTTAAAATGGTTGCAGCTGCGGAGGAAGGGATGCCCTAAAGACCATGTGCCACTCATTGGCACATACGTAAATGAGAGAGAAAAACACTCTTTGTAAAGGAACCTATAATATTGTCATAACTGGTGAAAAATGAAACATTTGATCAAATGACAAATGTATCCAAGAAAAATCAATTGCTTGATTTTTCACTACAATCATGACAGCCTGAAATTTAGCTGAAACTAAAAATGCTTGCTTAGGAGCAGTCTCATCAAGATAGTGGGATAGGAAGTCCTATACCCTCCTTTCTCCCCACAAAACACTGAATTAGCAACAATGTACAGACAAATTCTCTTTGTGAGAAATCCAGAAACTAGTTGAGAGGCTTCTGCAACCTGGGTAGACACAAAACCAGCTACACTGGAGCTGATAGGAAAATTTAAAACACCCTCTTGCCATAACTCCTACCCCAGGCATAGAATCATATAATATGAAGGAAGTTCCTTACACCCATCTTCACCCTGGAGAGGAGCAAAGTTGGACAGCGTGTCTAATGTTCCAACTTTTCTGGGGACTTCTCAAGGTACTGGCTTAAATCTTGCATGTCTTGGAGCACTGATGAGGCCCAGCATACTTTAGACACCTGGGGGCCAAGTAGAACAAAGATGGTGGTTTGAACTGCATGCAAGCAGTTGCCATAGCCTTTTCCCCCAGCTCAGTGCAGAGTGAGTGGGCAGAAAACCCTAGATCCCAGGTTCATCTTGGAAGGGAAGGAGTTGGACTGCAAATCAAAATTTCCAACTTTTCCAGGGGCTGCCTGAGGGACTGGCTTCTGTCTCACCTGTTTTGGAACACTGATGGCACCCAGCTTACTAGAGATGCCTGGGGGCTACTAAGAACAAAGACAGTGGTTTGGTCTAGCACAGGTTTTAGAGGCCCCCAAGAATCTCTGCCTAGGCTGATTGGTGAGAGTCTTCTCCTATACAGGACAATCCATGAAGACTGGGAGAGGTGGCTCTTTTTTCTAATGTGCAGATACCAACACAAAGAGTCAGGAAAAATGAAGAAACAGGGAAGTATATACCAAACAAAGGAATAAATTTATCAGATACAGATCCTAATGAAACAGAGATTTTGTTATGATTTACCTAACAGAATTCAAAGTAACCATCATAAAGATGCTCAATGATGTCAGAAGAATGTTGCGTGAACAAAATGAGACCTTCAACAAAGGGATAGAAAATACAAAAAGGACCAAACAGAAATCTTGGAGCATAAGAATACAATGACTGAACTAGAAAATTCACTAGAGGGATTCAACAATAGGTCACTGGAAATCTTCCAGTCAGAGGAGCAAAAACAAAAAAGAATTAAAAAGAGCAAAGAAAACCTAAGGTACTTATGGGACACCATCAGGTCAACCAATAAATGCATTATGGGAGTCTAAGAAAGAGAAGAGGGAGAGAAAGGAGAAGAAAACTTATTCAAAGGAATTATGGCCAAAAACTCACAAATCTGGAGAGAGATACAGGAAACTAATGGATCCCAAAATAGATGAACCCAAAGAAATGACCCCTGGGACATTTTATAATCAAATTGTCAAAAGCCAAAGTCAAAGAGAGAATTTGGAAAGCAGGAAGAAAAAAGCCACTTGTCACATACAAGTTAATCTCCATAAGACTACCAATAGATTTCTCAACAGAAACCTTGCAGGCCAGAGGGCAGTGGATAATATAATCAAAGTACTTAAAGGGAAAAAAACAAAAAACTATCAATCAAGAATACTACACCCAGCGAAACTGTCCTTCAAAAATGAAGGAGAAATATAACTTTCCCAGGCAAACAAAAGCTGAGGGTATTTATCACCACTAGACATGTCTTACAAGAAATACTAAAGGGAGTTCTTCAAGTTCCTCTTCAAATGAAAGAACACTAAACAACATTATGAAAACTTTTGAAAGTATAAAACTCTCTGATGAGGGTAAATGTATAAACAAGTACAGAACGCTATGGTACTGTAATAGGTGTGTGTAAATCACTTTTAATTCTAGGATAAAAGTTAAAAGACAAAAATATTAAAAATAACTATTACTGTAAAAATATGTTAACAGATGTACAATATAAAAATATGTGGATTGTGACATCAATAACATGAAGTATGGGACATGGAGGAGTAAAAGCATAGATTTTTTTGTATATGATTGAAGTTAAGTTGTTATCAGCTTAAAATATAATATTATAACTGTAAGATGTTTTATGTAAGCCCTATGATACCCACAAAGAAAGTACTTATAGATGATACACAAAAGAAAAAAAACCAAAGCATATTAATACAAAAAAAGAAATCAATAAAACCCAAAGGAGACAGCAAAAGAGGAAAAGAAGGACAAAAGAACTACTGGACAGACAGAAAAGAATTTTTTTAAATCACAAATAATAAGTCTTTCCCCATCAACAATTACTTTAAATATATATGGATTAATGTTAAATGCATTTATATAAAATACATTTAATATACAAAGGTACTTTAAAAAGTGAGTGGAAAAAATAGTATTAAAAGAGAGTACAAATCTTTCCATGAACTTTTTAAAGACCCCTCATAAATAGATTAAACTTCCCAATCAAAAAATAAAGGATACTTTTTTAAAGGATCCAACTGTATGCTGTCTACAAGAGATTCATGTTAGATTTGGGGACACACATAGACTTAAAGTGAAGGTATGAAAAATAAGATAATCCATGCAAACAGCAACCAAAAGAGAGCAAATGGCTGTTTATATCAGACAGAATAAATTTAAGTCAAGAAATCTCACAAGAGACAAAGATGGTCATCATATAAAGATAAAATTGTCAATTCACCAAGATGATATAACAATTGTATCTTGTTCTGTTTTCCTTTAAAACAATCCTATTAGAAAAAATTTGGATATTCCCCTTCTAAAGTGCACTTGATTGGCCACAGCTTGGGAGCACATCTGGCTGGAGAAGCTGGGTCAAGGATACCAGGCCTTGGAAGAATAACTGGTAAGTATGCCCTGGTGTTGGGCCTTATAGAAAGCAAAAAATAAAGATACAAAAGATCAATGAAACAAAAAGTTGGTTTTTCTAGAAGATAAGCAAAATAGACAAACCATTAGCTAGGCTAACTAAAAAAAGAAGACCAAATAACAAAAATTAAAAATGCAAAAGGAGATATTACAACCAATACCTCAGAAATACAAAGAATCATTAGAGACTGTTTGAACAATTATACACCAACAAATTGGAAAACCTGGAGGAAATTCCTGGATACGTACAAATTAGCAAGGTTTAACCAAGAAGATATAGAAAACCTGAACAGACCAATAACAAGTGACAAGATTGAAGCAGTAATCAGCAGTCTCCCAAAAAAGAAAAGCCCAGGACTGGATGGTTTCACTGCTAAATTCTATCAGACTTAAAGAGGCCTGCTGTAATTCATAACCTTATTGTATGTATGGTATTCCATATACAGACCCTAGAATGGCCATATTTCTGACTTCCTTAGCCTTTTTGGCATTGCCTCCACATAGTCTTACTTGTGTGTAGCAATCTGACATTGCAATGTATACAGATCATGCATTTATAGACTCAGTTTACACATCTGTAAACTTTTGTTCTGAGTGATATTTGATCAATATAAATCCTATAGGAAAGGATAACTTGCCTTCACCATTTATGCTTCCAAGATAACAACAGTATCAATGTGCTCTCTTACAGAACATATCTTTGTTTAATAGACATTGTGCTTTCTCTAGGGTTGGACCCAGCTGGGCCATTTTTCCACAACACTCCAAATGAAGTCAGGCTAGACCCCTCGGATGCCAACTTTGTCGATGTCATTCACACAAATGCAGCTCGCGTCCTCTTAGAGCTTGGTAAGTTTTTAACAGAAACAAAAACGGCATTGAAGCCTAGAGGGAACCTGTAGAAGGATTTACCCTGTTTTTATCTATTTCAGGTACTGGAACTATTAATGCTTGTGGTCACCTTGACTTTTACCCAAATGGAGGGAAGCACATGCCAGGATGTAAAGACTTAATTACACCTTTACTTAAATTTGATTTCAATGCTTATAAGAAAGGTAAATACTTTCTAAAATATGAAGGCTGCTGATATATATTTACTCAGCTCCCTCCTTAGACAAAATACACATCTTTTATATGTAATATACCTATAAAAATATATTTTCATCCAAAACACAGTCGCATGTGTGAGGCTCTCCCGCAATTGTGACCTTTGTCTCCCCAAAAAATACACATCTTTTATATGTAATATACCTATAAAAATATATTTTCATCCAAAACACAGTCACATGTGTGAGGCTCTCCCGCAGTTGTGACCTTTGTCTCCCCAGTGCCTTACACAATATCTAGCATATTTTAATCACTCAGTATGAACAAGGAGGGTGTGTTTATTCATTCAGTAACTATGCTGACTACATGCCAGGCATTATTCTAGGAGTAGCACATATAGGGATGAATACAAAACACAAAAATCCCTCCCTGATGGAGCTAATATTCTAACTTGTTAGGAAGCCAATAATCAAATAATATAACTGCTAAGGAGAAATAACCTAACATGGATGGGGAATATGATGTCTTGGTGACAGTGAAGGTAAAGTGGGGGAAGGAGAGTTTTGATAGGGTGACAAGGTAGTACTTACAGAAGAGATGACCATGTGGATACCTGGGGGAAAGGCATTCCAGGCCAAGCAGGGAAGCAGGTGCAAAGGGCCTGAGACAGGAGCCTGCTTGGCAGGTTCATGGCAATGAGGAGCCTATTGGGGCTGGAGTGAAATGAAAGAGAAGAGAACAGTAGGGCAAAAGCGTAGAGAGGGAGGAAACAGGCGCAGAGGGAGATAACACAGGACCTATGGATTGTAGTAAAGACTTCAGGTTTTACTCAAGTGAGATGGGAGCCATGGGAAAGTTCTGAGCAGAGGAGAGACAAGGTTTTACTTAATTTTAACAGAATCACTCTGGACACTTTAATAGCAAATTGAGCAAATAATATTTTATCTTTTGTAGTTATTTCCAATAATAATAATATCTATAGGGTATTTAGTTGCAAGGCACCAAAAAGTTGTTATTTGGGAATTTCATTCCTCCCTATCTCTACATTTTATTATGTAAAAAATGAAATACATCACGCATAATATATATTAATATACAATAAAATAATATATGTATGATGATATGATAATCAATATATGGATGATTCTAAATATCTCACCACACAATCCCATGTAGTCAAAATATCTAGATGATGAAATATTTGATCTTTCATTTGGCTGTTGAAAGAGGGAAGATACACAGATCATAACATTGAGAGTAATTCTAGTTTCTTCTTCACTGGAGATAAATTACAAAGTTTTAATATTTGCTCTGAAAGAATAAATGTGGTTAGAGGGATCTATTTGTAATGACTCCCTTTAAAAAAGAACACACAACTCGTGAATCAACAGATACTCGAATGAGAATTAAAGTCAGTTACACCTAGTACAGATAAGCAAAATTCATGTTAAAAAAAGGCCTATTATAAAACTTCTTTCTCCCATTATTTCCCATATTATGATTTAAAGTCATTTCTGTTGGGATGAAATACAGATCATAAGACTTTTTTTTAACATAACTATATTAAGTGTTATACACTGTTATACACAGATAATATGAAATTCTGTAAAACATTAATTCAAGTAAAACTTACATTTACCATAAGCTATTGTTGCTTTGCCCCCCACAGATTTGTCACCCCTTTTCCCCTGGGGGACGGAGCCACAAAAGATTACTCAAAGCCCATCTCTTCTGAGCAGTGAGAAACCCCAAAGTGGTTAATATCCCTGAACACTCAAGAGAGAGGCATCCCTTCCATTTGGGAAATTAACCATGAATTGGGGTTCTCCTCCTGCATTTATTCTCCAGACCAGGAAGTTACAGGAAGAGAACATAGGTGGGGTTATATTTTAACAATATAGGCTGGTAACTTTCAGTGAAACAAATCAGATGACTTTCCATTAAGGCAATTAAGGGGTCCACCAACAAAAGCTTGATCTAAGCAAACATTCCTTCTTACAGAAATTTCCCAGTATCTTTACATATCAATCAGTAACTTGTCTGTCTTTGAGCCAGCAATTTTGCTGTGTTACAACTCTTTATCTTACAACAGAGACTCAATAATAGCCTGGGGAAAATTTCCTGTTTTTTGTAAGGTCGATATTTGAAACTGCAAGGCTTTGGAAAACCAGGCCCTGTGAAGTACATTTGCTTTATAGTATACTCCACAAGCCATCATTTTGAGACATTATAAAATTTCCAACAACTCTATTAGATTAAAAGCACATTTATCATTCACATTAAGTTCTTTAGATGAATTTTAAGACTTTAAGATATTCTATTTTACATTATATTTGTTGCTAAGAAACGATTACTTTTAAAATTAATAGTTCACTATATTCTAATGGACCATCTTGTCTAAATCACAATTAACTGTGATTCAATCTGTATATATACAGAGACCTAATGTAAGAGAAGTCCTTGTTTAAAAAAAAAAAAAGAAAAGACAATGCCAATTATTGATCTCTGCTGACTATATTGCATTTCTGAAAGTCTCAGTCTCAGTTATCTATTACACAAGGAGCCATATGTGCTTAAAAGAACAATCATTTTACTGTTCCGAAGGTGAGGATTCAGGTAGAGTTCTGCTAAGACTGCTTTGTGTGGTTTCCTGGGGTAACTTCTGTGACTGCATCCACCTGGGGGCTGGGCTGAGCTAAACTGCATAGGCAGGTCCATGATGGCCTTTTGTGTCTGGAGCCTTGGAACTGGTTCTCCTCTGTCGAGTGGTCTGTTATCTTTAAGGGCCTCTCTCTTTCCAGCAATTTAGCCTGGATTTCTTAACATGGCAGCTAAGTTCCAGGAGAGCAAGAGTGGATGCTGGAAAGCCCCTTAAGACTGAGGCCCTGGAACTGGCTCAATGTCAGTTCCTTCACATTCTGTTGGTCAAAGCAAGTCACAAGATCAGCCCATTGTAATCCAGGGGTGGTGCTGGTGGTGAAAAAATAGGCCCCATCTCTTAAGAGGAGGAATGGTAACATGATATTGCAAAAAGATGAGGTCAGGCTAGACCTCAGGAAGGAGTGATTCATTGGCGATCATTATTACAGATAATCATCTACCACATATACTATTAAAATCAATTTTCTCAAATATCAACTAAGATGTGTAGGTCATTGGAAGAATAGCTCATGTCATTCAGTTAAAATGTTACTAGTAACATAAGAGCATAACTGACTAGAATGCCATGGTAAGTTCAGAATGCACACATGTATTTAGATCTATCTTACTTATTATTGCAGTAATCCTAACTACTGGTAGCAATAATGTCACACTTGACAATAACAAAACTAATTTGTCTTTAGCATTCTTTATAATACCTCCTTCCTGTCACACCTTTAAGCTCAACACTGGTTAACATTGCACTGGTGGCTGTTTTGTGATTGAGTAGGTGGGAGTTCAGCCATTCCTGCAGAAACAGACAGAATTTATTGGTCTAAGGTAGAGATGCTGTGTGTACAAGAATACTTCTGTCAAAGTTTCCAGAAAGTGTTTGGAGATATTAGTGTCAAAGCACAAAGTCATCTACATTTGCTTTTGTCTACGTATTTACCTACCTGCTTGAACATCCCTTTAGATTCACACAAAGAATTCTTTGGTACAAAGAAAATGACATGTAACATTGTAAATGTTGTGCAATATACAAGCCTAGACATAGGTCTAGCCACCAAAGTCAAGAAACTGTCATTTAAAATTACTCTCCCTAAGAAATGGTTCATGCTTTCAGTTATCACTTAATTGCTATCAGTTAATTGGCAATTGTTTCCACAGAAGTGGTTTCCTTCCTTGAATGTGACCATGCCCGAAGTCATCGCTTTTATGCTGAAAGCGTTCTCAATCCTGATGCCTTTATTGCTTATCCTTGCAGATCCTACAAATCTTTTAAAGCAGTAAGTAAAGCATTTTGCAATGGAATTTAATGGGAAAGTAATTGTTCGAAACATGATCAGCCCGCTAAAAATTAGGGCTTTGAGTATGTGGCAAAAAGCGCATCTGTCATTTTGGGAAATGATGGATTGTTTCGGTGCTGAGTACCGAGCAGTAGCTGGGATTGCTGAAGGGCTGAAATAAATAAACCAATGATTTGCTCTTTTGGCCATTTGTTACGCGGTAATTAAACACTACTGTGTAACAGCCATAAGTCCAGGGCAAAAATTTTTCTGTGCGTATATTCTAAATGTCATCTTCAAAGATGCCCTGAGAAGGCTGAACCAATCAATAGCTACAACCAAATATATTACTATTTACTTGGAACATGAAAGTTATTTTATTACAATTTATTACAATTATTTATACAGAGCAGAACTAAGGCATAGATAGCTCACAGGAGTTCCATAGAGATCAATTCACGACAAATACCACATCCTATTTTGCTTTGGTCACAATGCATGCAGTGCCAGATCTGAGCTACATGTAATTTTCATTTGGTTATCACTATGAAAAGGAGAAAGAAAATCTATTTTGTAGTGGAAAGTGGAAAATATTTTCATTCTTGTACTTTAGAGACGTAATTCCCTGTTTTTATCAGGGTAGTAAACATGGGCTTTCCAGATGAAATTTATGGTAAGTAACAGTGCTTTCTGAATAAGTGCAGTGTTAGGACAGGAATAAGCATTTTCCTCCTGCTACAGAGCATGGCAAGCGGGTGCTCTCAGGCTGTCCTTTTGGTTTCTGGGCTAGTTATCCTTGCTTTTAACGTGTCCTAGTGAGTTACAGTTCTCAGGAAGCCTGACAGCCAAACACTGGTATTTCCTACATAACTTCCTTCCCCCCACCTCTCCCTTCTTCCTGCCACAGACGCAGCTGATCGGAGTGGCTAAGGGATCCTGGCATTTACTAGACAAAAAGCAAGTGGAAGCAGGCACCCAGAGTCATTGTCCTATATTCAGAGATAAGGGGGTTAATCTCCCTTAGGAGCTGGCTGGCGCCACATGGATGCTAATTTTGGCTACAAACTAGAGAATGAGTCAATTTTCTTGACATGTTTTATTGCATTTTACCCAATAGTCATAAAATGACATGAATAGAACAGAATAAAATAAAATAATATAAAATAAAATGAGAGGTTCTAGCTCCAAGCCACTCATGTAAACGTTCTTGCTCCATCACTTGATAAAGGAGCAACATTGGACAAATTGACTACTCTGTGCTTCAACTCCCTCATCGATAAAACAGGGAGAATGCAAGAATAATACTAAGGGAGTCTGTGAGTATTGAGTTAAATGCACATAATATAGAGCAGTGCCTGCCACATGATAAGCATTCAATAAGTATGAGTCCTTATATTTTAGTAGAATTTCTCTTCAGTAAAAGTGGAGTTTTAAATGGACTGTGTTACTGTAGTCTTAGCCTAAATGTCCATGATTTATTAAATAAAACATTCAAAGACTAGAATAGCAAATACTCAATCCCTGCTCCCAAGATTTTTTAAAAGTTAGCATTTTATTAGTGTTACTTTAGGTTTTAAAACATACAGATAAAATTTAAAAAGTGAAGTAGTTTACATTCCCCTCATTCCCTCCGCTAAAGCTGAGTTTAAAGTGAATTTGAGGTATGTCAACTAACTGGTACCCTATTATAAGTATCTTTCTGGATTTGCTGTTTTCATTAAATATTATAAATTTGAAATCTACATTGATATCTATAGATGTAATATATTTAGTTTTGTAGGAATCAGCCGCACAATTTATTTATTTATTCCCCTACTAATGTGAGCTTTGCTTGTTTCCAGTTTTTGTTATTGAAAGCAATTCTACCATAAACACTTCTTTATATGTCTCCTTATATATTTCAGTGGAAGTTTCTTTATGGCATAAAAAGGATTGAAATTATCAGAACATATGTGCATTTCCACCTTTATTAGGTATCACCAAATTGCTGTCTAAAATGTCTATCAATTATTAAAGAAAAAGAAGAATAAAGGCTGCAGTTTGATTTCCCTGAAACACTAGCTCTAGTCATATACAAAACACAAAAATGTGAGCTTTACCACCTTATCAGCATGATTCAGTGAAATCAAACCAATCAGCTGTAGATAAATCAGCTCTACCTTCCCTAGAAAAGAATGTTAATATACAACAACCATCCACAAAAAAAGTCAAAATACTTCCTTGTTTATGCTTTATAAATTGTGCTGTAACTGTTATAAGGGTTGGCTTCTTACTTCTTTCAGTCTGAGGTCTCTCAATTCAAAAACTATTCTTTTGTATGCACAATAAACTTAAAAAATTTTTTTAATTTAATCTGATTTTATTTTTGACATATTTTATATTCCCATCAGAAGCAAGTAAGAATTCCCCTACTCCATGTCTTCACCAGTACTTGGTTTGCTAGTTGTTTTAATTTTTGCAAATCTTCTGAGTATAAAATTGTGTGTTATTTTAATTAGCATATTCCTGACAACCATATAGTAAGACTGAGCATCTGTTTTACATTGTTACTGACTATTTGAGTTTCGTCTTCTGTGGATGGTTTATTTGTACTGTTGACCCATTTTTCTAATAGGCCGTCTTTCTTCTTGCCTCAGCTGCTTTTGCTGTATTTTGTTTTGTTTTTGAAAACAGGCATGGTGATCTATGAAGCAATTTAGTCATTTTTTAATACACATACTTTATTTAGATCCCAATGATTTATTATAATTTAATAATATATCATGAGTTTATTGGAGGGCAATGTTTCTCATTATGTAAGTGACGACCTCTTATTTTCTGTCACCAGGGAAATTGTTACTGTTGTCCCAAAGAAGGTTGTCCAACAATGGGTCATTTTGCTGATAGATTTCACCTCAAAAATATGAAGACTAATAGATCATATTATTTTTTAAACACTGGATCTGAATCCCCATTTGCCCGTAAGTATTATAGCTAAGTTTTATTGTAAGGCTTTAAGGTACTTATCTTTAAAAATTCAACAGTTTTTATTGAGTGTCTACTAAATAACTGGGCATTGGGCCAGACGAGGATGCAGTGAAGAACAGTACAGTGAGGTCCTTTGTTGAGTTTAGGCTAGTGGGGAAGACAGCAAGGAAAATCTCAGTTTCAACCTGAGAAATAAATTTTCTGTTCGGCGACGTTCAAAGTCTGTGCAGAGCATAAAGGTCAGGGGGGTCTTTTGTGGGAAAGTGATTTTTAAGCTGACTCCTGAAGGATGAGCAGGAGGTAGAAGAAAAAGGGGAGTATTCTAGGTGGAAGGAACCACATATGTAAATGCCTGGAAGTAAGAGAGCAGAGACTGAAAGAAGCAGCCCTCTGCCAGGATGGCAGAGACCAAGAGGAGAATAATACGAGATGTGGTGGGAGAGAGAAGTCAGGTCAGAGGATGAAGGAAGAGCCTTGTTACCATGTGGAGAGTCTGGGCTTTATCTCTGAGTGAGTGGAAAGCCATTAAAGAGTATTAAAGACTATCAGATTGGGTTTTTTTTTTTTTTTTTTTTTTTAGAAAAATCATTCTGGTTGCTGCACAGATTAGAGGGGGGCAAGATGGAGACAGGGTCCCTGTTAGACAATTGTTGCAACAGTCCAGGCAGAAAAGTAGAGAGAAGTGGAGAGACTGCAGAGGTGGTGAGAAGACAGAAGCAAAATAGAATGTGCTGAGTGTTTTGGAAGGATGCGGAAAAGCAAGGAGTCAAGGACGATTCTGGCTGTGGATGATGTGCTGTTCGCTGAACCGGGTAGCACCACAATAGGGGCTAGTTTGGAGTAAGAGGATGTCCAGCTTCTAACATGTTAGGTTTGAGGTGCCTTCAGGGCTTGGGCAGTTAGAGATATGGGCCTCAGCCTCTGGAAATGGACGCGGTCTGCAGGTAGAGATTTGGGAGTCACTCAGTCTGTAATCAGAGCTCAGAGTAGATGATATAATACCCAAGGAGAGAGTGTCAGATGGCAAGCATAGGGAGCAGAGAAAGAGACCCCTGCAAAGGAGACCG